TTGTTATTTATTTATTATTGTTATCTATTTATTATTGTTATCTATTTATTATTGTTATCTATTTATTATTACGAAGGGCCTGACAAGGACAGCTGTCTAGTCCTTCTGATGAGACGAAAAACCAAGGTCCCGTGTATATATTGGACTGCACGTAAAACATCCCCTGGCAGTTGGAATTCGATATATAGGTCATAATTTTTAACCGATTTAAAAAAAAAAACGTTTTAGTATATCACCATTACACCCTAAGGACAGCTGCGTTCGAAGTTCGTGAAAATCGTCCCAAAAATGGCCGCCTCTGGTTCTCAAATAGCGAAAAAATATGGTATATCAAGGTTGTGGCCCTATAGAGGTCAAAATTTTTATCCGATTTTCCTGAAACTTAAAATGTAAGTTTATAACCCAAAGATCTTGGTTCCTTCCGATATTTGCGCATATCGAATTGTAATTTCCTGAATTATGGCCTTTGATTGTAGGAAAAATCACTTTCTTTTTAGCTTGTTCTCTATCCATCTCTCGAAAATGTGGGCATGGGTTTCAAATATTTTAAATTGCTTACTGTGGAGATCACCTTTTGGGTTATGGTAAATGGCGTTGAAAATGGTCGAAAACTGCATTTTTTTCCATTTTGGTTGCTATGACAACCAAAATCGATAATTGATAATATATGGTGGATTAGTAGTATGTAATTTTAAAAATTCACAAACTTTTTGACATGTTCACATAATTTCACTTATGTATCTCCATTCCTTCTTATTTTATTAATGTCCAAAAAACGCCCCAAAAATAGGCAATTTGCTCCCGCGGAAAAATTGTTCAAAAATGAACATATATCCTGCTCTTGAGAGAAGGCATTATGAATATTTTTTCTCTTTTTTTTCCCTCTTAATCTTATTTGAAAGCTACTGATTTTAAAATGCATAACAACAGGGCTAGAAATTCATGCGAATCTCCGAATCTGATTCACGCAAGAATTCTCGCAAGAGCTTGCGCGTAAAAAATTTCTTCAAAAAACAAAAAAAAAATCTCAGAGCATTGTCGAGTCCAACTGTTGTATCAGTCAGGGTTAGTTTTCTTAATCGGCTGTATTTTGTGGGATTTAGCCGATTGATGTTTAATAAATGTAAATAAAAATTAATAGATTTTGTCTTTGGGAATGATGAGATCTGAAAGATGGAACTATCATCCCCTTCCGAAATATTTAAAGAAAGTGTACTGGAATTCAATCCAGGCAACAACAAGGAAAAATCAATAAATCTGTCCAACCAAATATTGGCATTAATCTTATCCGACACATGGTTGGAAATGGATTTAGGGGGTATGGTTGCTTGCAGTATCAAGGGAGCACTGTTACCTGTATTAAATATTTCACTGATGGGCCTGGAGCAGCTAGGGTAACTTCAGGCGACCAAGCCGACGTTGAAGCAGCATTAGTCGTTGATTCATTAGCAGCTGCTGGCGTTGCTGTATCTTCTAAAGACCCCTCTTCAATTACCACATTTGTCGACGAAGGGGGTGTTGGTACCTTAGTTGCCTGGTCTCTGATAGATGCTAAGTGGACTTTCCCTCTTTTGACTGTCTGTTTAACCATCATACCTTTCTTCGATAATTTCCTAACCAAAATGTCTGTTAGGCGGTCTTCCACTGACTTCATCGATGGAGAGGAATCTGTACCCTCCTGTTCCGAATCGCTGGACGGACATCTGCGTTTAGGCATGATTCTGAAATAACAAACTATAATACAAGAAAACCTGACAAGCATACCAAAGCCAAAAGTTCCATAGGGAAAAGCAAAAGTTCCATAAGTAAAAGCCAAGTTCCACAAGGAAAATAAAAAGTTCCACAAACGGAAAGCAAAAAAGTTCCAAAAGGAAAAGCACAAAGTTCCATAAGGAAAGCAAAAAAGTTCTTAGGGAAAGCAAACGTTCCACAGGGAAAGCAAAAGTTTTGCATCGGAAAGGCAAAGTTCCATTGAGTATTGCAAGGAAGGCCAAAGTTTAGCAGAAGGGGGGGGGGTGATCACGTGGCTAAGTGGGTAAGACGCTGGCTCGCTAGCTTGGAGGTCGGGTGTTCGATCCCTGCATTGGCCGAGAAAGTTCATTCAGATTTTCCGGCGTGGTTTCCCCTTGTCAGGGATGGAGGGCCTGACAAGGACAGCTGTCTAGTCGTTCGGATGGGACGAAAAACCAAGGCGTGCACGTAAAAGATCCCTTGGCAGTTGGAATTCTACATAAGAGAAGGCGTAGCACCGCTGCCCGGGCAAAATTTCCCTCATAGCACACTGTATGGCGTATACCCGTCTTCATTAGCCCAGGTTAGGAGCAGAACAGTAGGACGTTAAACCCCATTTCATTTCATTTCATTTAGCAGAAGGGCACAATTTCCATAGGCCTGGGTAGTTCTTATGATAATGAAGTTGTGGGTGACAGCAATTGACACCATCTCATGTGTCTTAGCAAAGCATCTCTGATGCTTTTCATAAACAAAATACATCCCATAGAATCTGACAAGTGAATGCCCTGCGAATCATAAACATATGCAACTGGCTGACAAAAGCCCGACCTATGTTTCCAAAAAGTTATTTTAGGGAAACGTTGACACAACAATGACAAACGATAATTAGTTTGAAAAACACAATCATTATATTGTTCATCAACAACCACGTGACGTTTTATCAGTTGCGATATTATCACACCTTGGGGACAAAACGTAGCTAAAATGTCCGAAGCAAAGTCCACAATGGCATGTGCTAAAATATCCGGCGACACTGACGAACCCAAATGAAGAAATACGATAACTGTATTTAAAAAACGGTCAAAACCCATATACAATCGCTGGAATCTGTCGTTTAAAACGCACAACCCACCATAGCCGAAACACAAAATAGAACACAGATTGAGTGGCAAATGTAAATTTGAATGCACACCACGTAAATGCGAAATTAAACGTTTGATATACGACGAACCAAACAAAGTTACCTTGATCGGAACCACAAATGATTATGAGGATTCTGATTGGCTGAATCACATAAATGTCATTATGTACCATAATTTGTATTTCTACTCTCACAAAACAGGCGAAATTTAAAGATATGCCACAAGATATGCCCCATTTCTTATCCTCTCGTTAACGAGAATTTGGTTCCATTGGCCATAACATTGACTAAAATTTTCAGGCCCAGTCCTAAAAAATTAATAGATCGGTTACATATCTTCCACTCCTCTGTTGTCTTATAATGTCACAGCACTATCATATTCACGGTTATAGTGAAATACCCAGTTATATTAGCAGTACCACTGGTGTGTGGGTCGTGGGGCGTCAGACTGTACAAATGTTATGTCAATTCTTGCAAAACAGACGGAATTGACAGGGGCAGATCTCAAGATTCTGTCCCATTGACTGCTATTTCTGATCCTCTCATCCACAAGAATTTCTCCCAGCAATGACCTCAAATGCCAGGATATTTACTCAATTTTTGTCCCCCGCCTTTCGAAGAAAGCAGGGGACTATTAAAATGGGTTCGTCACACTTTTTGGGACACAATAACTCTCTTCCTAATTGAGCTAGAATGTTCAAACTTGGTGTATGTGTTTATTAGGTCAATGCCTTGATGGAGTTCGAAGATGAGCATTTTCCGCTTAGGGTAAGCAGAGATAAGCAATTTGATTGGTTGATACTTTGGGGCACGATAACTCTCTTCCTAATTGAGCTAGAATGTTCAAACTTGGTGTATGTGTTGATTAGGTCAATGCCTTGATGGAGTTCGAAGATGAGCATTTTCCGCTTAGGGTAAGCAGAGATAAGCAATTTGATTGGTTGATGCTTTGGGACACGATAACTTTAGTTCTAATTAAGTGAGAACTATTATAAATTAATTAAATATGTAGTATGCAATAATGAATTGACATTTAATGACAGAAAGAAAACAGTGAACTTTGCACAACTTGCAGCAAGATGGAAAATAGACCCGTTGATACAACCAAACTCTAGATCTGTAGGCATAGAGCATGTTTTCCCCTTATTATGCTATAATTATTCCATCAAAAACATTGTATGCTTAGACTATAAGTAAAGATATACTGTTTGATTGTTCAATACTTTGTAAAAGATAATTTGTGATAAATTTATATGTGTCCTCTAATTATTTTCCTATTTCGGCGGGGGACATCAGCCGCACTGTTGGCTTGTTCAAAATTTTCTCAGGTTGCTCAGTGTTATTGGCACAATCATGATATGTGACATAAACTTTGTCAACATAAATAAAACTGCTTTCCGGCGAGACAGTGACCAGCGAACAACTATATAATTATACAATACTATCTATGTTCTACCAGTATTTTGTTGACATTCATACTGGGGTGGGATTGTGGATGGCGCCAAAGATTTGGAACCTCCCCACCCCCTATTCCCAGCTTCTAGATCCGCTACTGCACATGGCCCCTAGAAAACTTGTTCTAGGGGCATGTGCATCAGTCGGTCACATTTTGGCTAAACACCCCCCAAAACAAAATCGTTATGTACGCTCCTGCCTGTCTATAGAGATTGACAGACGGCGACTATTTGGCGCAAGTGTAAAAGTCTCACGAGATTATCGCACTGGCAGTACATTGCGAGGTTGATTTCTGGTGACACCTATACAGGTGAAAGTTAATTCATTTGTGATTTAATGAAGATACATTACCTGGGATGTGATTTACTGATTTCCGATGTTTAATTTCCTGGGATGTGATTTACTGATTTCCGATGTATTTGTCAATGCTGGATGATAATTGATGATAATAGAAAGAAAGGGTCTACAAGAAATTAAACGGTCACCATTAAACTAAGCTATAGTACTAACTAAACCATTTCTGTAGTTCTCAAACGATTTTTATCAATTATCAAACAATATTTTGAAAGTAAACTATATGTATACATTCTAGCGCTAAAAATCCCTAATTAAACGATGCAGTTTTACAGTGTCTGAAACATAACAATATTCTATACTTTATGAATTGTAGGACATTACCAATTTAGTGAGATTACCTAAACTGGTGAATATAAGTTTTAAAGATCCCCAGTATGAAGCATCACCAGTCAGTATTTTATGTAATTATTCTACTCATGTGTTATATCATCTACCGTATATTCAACGACTTGATACATTTGATGTGTCAATTCAACATCTGGCAGAAATCGCTGAGGTAGGTATTAGAGGTGTTTGTATTTGTCAAATGCTTTCAGAGTTGTTCTGAGTGATAATTGTGGCAAATTCTGAACCAAATTGTTTGTAACTGTTCATTTCACAGCAAAATATGTTCCATTATTTAACCACATATTTTATCTTGGGTTTTTTTATGGCCATATCTTTGGAAAAATGTTTTGTGTGAAGCAAGGTGATCATGAAAAGGCAAACCCTATCTATTAAGCATTCCACAACCTTCCATTCAGGGGTCCCATGGATATGGTGGCTCAGTGAGTAAGGTGCTAGTTGAATAACCAGAAGATCTGGAGATCAATCCCAGTGCCATAGAGCTGGTGCTGGCTGGTGCTGGCTCGCTAACAACCAGACCCAGGGTTCGATCGATGTAGTGCACTGCTGTGATGCTGCCTCCTCTCCCTGGACCAAGATTTTGGAACACCACAGGACCCACTCTCTGGTTCAGAGAGGGATTTGAAGCAAATTTTTATATGCCCACATTTTCATGTGGACGTATTATGCTGTCGCCCCTGTTTGTCCGTCCGGTCGTCCGTCCACAATTTGTTTGTGGACACTCTACAGGTCACAATTTTTATCCGATTTCAACGAAATGGTGAGGGGTGATGATCTGTCCACGGTAAGATCTACCGCAATGGATGTTCTCTCTGGTGAGACGTCGGCGCACTGTATCGGTACTGATGGGTCTTCCATGTGTTCCCACTGTCTGATATGCTGTCTCAGTTGCCTGTGTGAAGGGATTCTGCACGTGCTGTCACACAACATGGCGGTCTTGTCGCCTTGTGGTAACCCTTGGACTACCAGTTCGGGGGCGATCATCCATGGTGTTGGTGGCCCGAAAGCGTTGCTGAAGCCTGTAGATAGTCCAAACATTGACCTGGAAGTGATTGGCAGTGGCTTGGGCAGTGTGGCCAGTGTCGTGTCTTCCAAGTGCCTTGGCGTCTAACAACAGTTTATTTATAGTTATAGGAATCTCCCGGCAAATACAGTTTTTGAGAGGGATTTGAAGTAAATTTTTATACGCCCACATTTTCATGAGGACGTATTATGCCGTCGCCCCTGTTTGTCCGGACGTCCGTCCACAATTTGTTTGTGGACACTCTACAGGTCACAATTTTTATCCGATTTCAACGAAACTTGAAATATAGGTTAATCTCCCTAAGATCTCAGTTTCTTTCGATATTGGCATGTATCGGACCGTAACTTCGTGGATTATGGCACCTGATTGTACAAAAAATTGCGTTTTTAGCTTGTGGACCCGCTATAGAGGTCACAAGTTTTATCCAATTTTGTTGAAACTTGAAATGTAAGTTTATAAGCCAAAGATCTCGGTTCCTTTCGATATTCACGCATATCGGACCTTAACTTCCTGAATTATGGCCCCAAAGATCTCGGTCCCTATTGATATTTGCGCAATTCAGACCATAACTTTCTGGATTATTGCCCCTGATTGTACAAAAACTCCTGTTTGTTTTTAGCTGAGTATTTAACAAAACTAACACTTATTACAGTATTAAAACATCGTACAGCAAATCTGATATCGTGCGATAAAATAGACATTTGGCTGCAAAACTGAATGATGATCCACAACTAAACAGATCGTAATATCTGAACATCTCATCTGAAATCAGATTTTTGACAACAGAATCGAACACCTTGCGTAATTGGACACCTCGACTAATTTTAATCACAGCTCAGGAAATTGAATGGTTCAACTAATTATCGATCGGCTGTGATAATTAAGCATGACGCTTATTATTATTATTATTGTTCGATTTATATAGCGCTTCATTACACGTGAAGTGTTTCTAAGCGCATATCACAAACATATACTTCAAACACACAGAAACAATCAAAATCAGGAGAACATAATTAAACACAGCTGCCTGTAGGCGCTATTATTTAAAGGTTTATATCAACAAATCAACCGGCTAATCTCTATATTGAACTCAGTCGAGGTATTACCTGATGAACACCTACACCAAGTAGAGTTCAAAAATAATAACGAAGTTTAAAAGAATCAACTTCATTAACAAAAATTAAACAATCAAAAACTAAACAGATAAATCAAATTCAAAGAAAATGAAAAGCGCAGTTCATTACCATTCTACATTAACAAAATAAAGGAAATCAAGTTGTGAAAATTTTTTCAAAAAAATAAGAGCAAAATAACACTAATGTTAATACTGCTTATAATTAAACAATTAGATTAAACAATACCCTTCTCACAGTGTCAGGATGGATGCATTTGTTAGGTGGATATTCCTACGGTTACTTGATGTCACTTTTTTATACGCCCACATTTTCATGTGGACGTATATTGTCGTCGCCCCTGTCCCTCCGTCCGTCCACAATTTGTTTGTGGACAGTCTACAGGCCTCAATAGGTCTATCTCCCAAAGATAGGGTGACCCGTGCACTTTACAGAAAGTTGGTCTCGACACGGCTAAATGTGCACGCTTCAGTTGCGTGTCTCGAACTGATTTCTGATTACCCCGCACTCGCTTTGAGTCGATAAATAGCCATGGCACGTGCAATTCTCTACAAATATATCAACTATTACAGCCGTAAAAAATCTATTGTTGCAATTTGTAATAGCAGTAAAATTTAGCTTCTTGGTTATTACAGCAGCTTTAGTAATTACGTTTGTTTTATTTTTTAAATTGCTTTATCATTAACTGTACCGTTAAGAGCGGCATCTTTTGGTTTAGTACAAATACTATCTCTGAATCACTTTCTTTAGCAGGAACATGATACTAGCAGTAGTTTCATTTTACTTTTACAAGTTTCTTAAAACAATTGTTGAGTTGTCTAAAGTGCTTATTTCTAAATTCAATTTCTTGTTCTAGCTTTCTGTTATGTTTTGTAAAAAAGTAGTCTTGATTATCCCGACCTGTCAATCAGACGTAGAATGGTCGATAGACTGGTTAAGCGAGACTAATTTCAAAACAAGGGCACGTAACCTATCTTTTACTCAAAAGTGTCTGGATGTTGTGGACGCAACTTGGAACCAGTTTTCAGTCTATTATTTATAGATGATTAATGGTCATAGCTTATTAAGTACAACATGATCGTTTGTTTAGTGACTATAATTGTGTGAAACTGATTTGAGGCTTGGCATATATATAAATATTGTGGCGTAATTGTCGAGATAGGGTCACCCTACCAAAGATCTCGGTCCTTTTCGATATTGGCATGTATCAGACCATAACTTCATGGATTATGGCCCCTGATTGTACGAAAAATCACGTTTTTAGCTTATGGACCCTCTAGAGGTCACAATTTTCATCCTATTTTGATGAAACTTGGAATGCATGGTTATATGCCAAAGATCTTGGTTCTTTTCGATATTCGCACATATCGGATCGTAAATTCCTGTATTATGGCCCTTGATTGTACAAAAAATCGCATTTTGAGCTTGTGGTCCCTATAGAGGTCACAATTTTTATCCGATTTAGAAAAAGGAAAAACGTGTGAATACATCACAGTTATACACTAATGATGGTTGAGTTTGAATTTCGTGAAAATCAGACAAAAACTGACGGACATAATGGCCACCTTTTGTACGCAAATAGTGTAAAAAATATGGTATATCAAGGTTGTGGGCCCTCTAGAGGCCACAGTTTTTATCCGATTTGGATGAAACTTTAAGTATGTGTTTTTATCATAAAGATCTTGGTTCCTTTTGATAATCACACATATCCGAACATAACTTCTTGGATTATGGCCCCTGATTGGTTGAAAAATCGCATTTTTAGCTCAATTGTGGATTCTCGGGAGGTCAAAATTTTTTTTCCTATTTTAAAAACCATTTAGATATATCACCATTCCACCATAATGAAGGTTGAATTGGAATTGAGGGAAAATCAAAATGAAACTGACCGACAAAATGCCCGTTTTTTGTACGCAAATTGTGTATAAGTATGTAATAAAAATGTTATGGAGCCTCTACTAGAGGTCACAATTTTTATCCGATTTTGGTAAAACTTTAAACATATCTTTATATTCCAAAAATCTGAGTCCCTTTTGATATTTGCTCATTTCAGACCATAACTTTCTGGATTATGGCTCCTGATTGTACAAAAAATCCCGTTTGTTTTTAGCTTGTTCTCTATACATCTCTTGCAAAATGTGGGTGTATCCTGCCTGGCAGCCGCTGGTTTGAGATAGACAGTATCGAGTATCCCCAAATCTAATACTGTTCAGATGGATTTTGTTTAATTCAAATAATTTGTATTCTAGTCAACAGTATCAAAGAAGAAGATGTACTATAATATGAGAATGAAAGCTATTCATTGTAATTTATCCAGTGTTAAAAATAGATTAGAGAAATATCGTGATCTATTATTAGAATTCCCTCAGAAAAGAATTTTGAATCTTGTTAATACAATAAAAGAGGTAAGTTACTCATATGTTAATTATTGTCACTGAGAACTACTGGACCCTTTATACCATATTGAGGCTTTTAAATTTGGATTCAAACCCTAAACCACCGATAGGACTCAGAGTAACAGAAGTTTAAGAAGAGAAATAAGGGTAGTTTTCGATATAAAAGCATCTGAATAGGCTCCAAAAATGGACAATATTAGATTTTCAGCAACCCATAATCTATTGCCTAACCATCGAATTTGTATCATTTGGATGTCATAAGATCGTCCATTAATCGGGCTACCCAATAACACTTTAGTTGTTTTGGTTCGGTGGAATCTGGCATAGTTCACCATTTTTTACTTTTTACATTTTTTTTTTTTCTTCAACATATCAGATATTTTTCGACTACTTCTGGTTTTTGGATAATTGTCGGATAGTTTTAACAGGTTGTGTGTATTCTTAACTTTCTGTACCAGAAATGTAAGAAAACATCCATTGAGCTGTTTTCAAAAAAAAGAAAAATAGAAGAGCATTTCATGTAATTTAAGCATTTTTCAACTTTTTTCAAAGATTGAGGCCTTTTTTGGACCACTAAATTTTCGGCGTACCATAATTTATTTCCTAACCATTGAAATCGTATCATTTAGATGTCATATGATAGTCCATTTTTTTTCATTTTTTGAATACTTCCAGTATGGAGATCATTCTCGGGATAGTTTTAATTATCAGTTTAGGCAATTGAATGGTCGCAGGGCTCCATAATGATATATTACATTATCTGATCAGATGAGGAATCCCATGTTCAAATGTGCCATAAATGCAAAATTTAAGCCAAAATATCGAAAATTAAATTTCAATAACTCAATAAGCTTACATATTATACATTTTAGAATTGTCATTAGAACACCTATCTTAATATATAAACCTTTTTTGAAAATTATCAAAATAAAAAAATAATAGAGCATTTTCCAAAATTTTAACGATTTTTTGACTTTTTTTAAATTTTGGTCCCATTTTTCTCCAAATTCCAGTTATTTCAAAGTCTTATTGAATGTCTTCATGCACAACACTACCGAAGGGTCTCTCAACAGAGAAATTTTTAAAAAAATGTGCTGGAGCAGTTTTCAAATCAGAAAATACTTGATTTTCAGCTTGCCATATTTTGCTGTCTGATCACCGTATCTGTATGAATTGGGTATCACATGATAGTCCATTCACCTGGCCACTCAACGCTACCTTAATTGGTTTATTTCGGACGGAGAAATCACGTTTTTCCCAAAAGCATCCATATTTTTGCATTGTTTTCAACATATCGGGCATTATTTTGACTTCTTCTGGTGGAAGCTCTAGAAGCTAAAGTTTATATCGATTGACTTTAAATTTATACACAGTGTTTAACACTGAGAGCTGCTAAAGGGTGAATTTGTGCACAGCCACCATATAAATCTCAGTCATAGTTGTTATTTGTACGTGTATCGAAAGAAAATTAATTTTCCGACTATTACTCGGTATTACCGCGTTAAACCTGTAAATAAGGTGTGTTAATTAAAAAGGGTGAAAAATTGTCTGGGAGGTGAGATAATTAACGCTAGGGGTGAAAAACTGCAACAGTGCATTTTCAGTAGAGGTGTGTTAATTAACCGACCGGTAAAAAATGAATGTCAATGTGTATTGTTTAATTGGCATGTTTTCTCGCTAGTTGCGATAACTGCATCAAGGACAAACAGGCTTTATCTGACACGTAAGTGTTAAATCAAAATTTGGGAAGCAAAACTGTTTTACCGTGCGATTTATCATTCGACCGTGTGTTTTACGCAGGTCTTTGTATAATTAAAGACAGGTCTTTAGTCAGGCGTGTGTGCTCGCTATGATCTACGTTTCTCTTACGTGTCTTTTGTATTGCGTACCATATATGTAAAGTTGAATTTAATGAAATAAAAATACGGACCTTAATCTATCGTATACAGAAAGGCGAATGTAATGTCGTCATTTATAAATACCCAGCGCCCAATTTGAATATAAACGAGAATATAGAGAGTAAATCCAGCAAAAACAACAGATATATATTTCTGTTTTATTACTAAAAAGATGCGCACTCACCATTTGACATTTATTAAATTTATAAAAACGTGCCAATAGCAATATCCATAAAACAGAAATCTCCATATTGATGAATAATACGGCACAACGAACTGAACAGTGGTAATTTCCTCACAAATGATATTTAAACTAAATTACTTTAGCTTTTCACTAAATTTACATGGCATACAATCCAACGATCCTCATTCCAGAACTTGTAATTTATAATAGCCGCTTTTATGCAATTACAGAATTTTCCCATGATCTTACATATCAAAGAAGCACATATGTCTGATACGACACGTAATCATTTTTCGAGACTTTGTACATTGGACTTCCTTGTTGTGTTTTCTTCGTGATCCTAATATATAAAACTGCAGGTTAAATTATTTCTTCAAATTTATTAAGCTGGATTGGCTTCAAAGGTCCCTCGTTCTCAATAAATGATAGCTGCTCGGAATACCTGGGTGGGCTCTGATCAGTCTCACTCAACACCATCTTTTATCACCCCCTAATTTCTGCACGTCCTAGACTGACCTTGACTTTAATTTCCATCCCAAATATGGACTGGGGGGTTGGGGGGACATTACCTTATTTGGTCTACCAACCATATGGCATGAACAGATAGAATTTGATGGATATTTTGACAATGGTTAGGATTTTACCAAAATATCACTGTTTTTTTATACATATAAACATGTCGTTCGCTTTTATTAGTACGTGGGATTTGACTCTATAGAAAGAGTTAACCAACAATTTTTCAAAGATCCAATATTGTGTCTTAAGGACCAAAGTCTTACAACTTGTCTTCTATTATATCGACTATACCTTGCGTTTATACTGCGTACCATATAGTCACTCTACTTATAAAGTTGCATTTAATAGAATAAAAATATTGACCTTAATCTATCGCAGGAAATACAATGTCGTCATTTATAAATATCAAACAAGTAGACCCCAATTTGAATATCCCCGGGTATATAGCGAATAAGTCAAATTTGCCGTATGTAAATACATATGCGTACGGGGAAATTTTTGACTGGGGGGGCGGTGGTGGTTGGTACCCAAAAAATGTACATGTAGTTAGGTTCTTAGTATGTTACATAATAATAATAAATTCGCTGTTAAATTGGACACATTCAAGAACACAATATTTTTTATACAACTTTTACAAAGTACAATTGTGTGCCCAAATTTTCCCAGCATTTGGTGCCCAGCCGCCCCCCCCCCCCCAGCTCGTACGCCTATTTGTAAATATACATGTACTGTCTTCTTATTCTTACGACTGGCACCTGAAATAACCCAGCCACATCAGAAAGCAATATCAGGTTTATTTTATAATCATTTTAGACATTGTTTCATTTGATTAAACGCGCAAGTTCACATATTGACCTTTGATTGATGGTATGCATTGAAATGAAATGAAAAATAAAAATCAGCATGGTATTGTATCCGTCCCATGGATTCAGCGAAGATTTTAAAGTTCCATAAACTTATGATTACTGAACGATGGATTTGCTCCCGATAATCACTTGGGATATGATGTGAGCATTTAAATAGTTCATCAATAACACCGTCTACATTTCCTATCGTTTTTTAAAATACAATATTTGAGCACTAGTATCCTATATATACAGTCAAACTGGGGGAAAGTATTGCCATCTTTTTGTTATGGTTGATTGATCAGAATGTTTGAAAACTTGACCTTTAGGTGTTGCGTAACAAATGTGGTGTTTTGATACTTGATTGGGGTCATAAAGTAATAAACTAATTAACAAGCTACACGCGGATTATTTATTTCAACCAAAATGTGTATTAGAAGTTTCTGTCTGAATTACGCTTGTTAATTTTGTTTATAGATTTATTAATTGACTGTTTTCGCTAACTTAAAAAATCGTGCAAACTGAAAAATAAGGTAATTTATGGTTAAAACTTTTTATGGCATGTAAAAAGAATACATACAAATGTGTATAGTAAAATTTACTGCAACCAGTAACAACTTATTTCTTGATACAGGCGTATCTGTTTTATGGAATAATCTACCATTTAGTTTAAGATATTGTACAGTTATTTAAACGGGCTTTTAACCGACGCTACATGTCCATAATCTTGATTTTTTTAAGATTAAATTGTCACTTTGTAAAGTGTCCCTAAGTAAGTTACATGGAAGGGCGCACTATAATAATATATAGTAACAAAATTTCGATTTATAGTATTAATATTACTTTGTCCCCTTTATTTCCAAACATCTCTCCGATGATAATAATAAATTTGAATTACTTCTCCGTACCAGTTGGAAACGTAATTGTCTAAGGTCTAAATGAAATGTGAAGTTTAATCAAATATAAAATTACAATGCTGTTTGTTTCAAAGCTGTGTTTGTTGGGGGGCACGATGGCTAAGAGGGTAAGACGCTGGCTCGCTAGCCTGGAGGTCGGATGTTCGATCCCTGCATTGGCAGGGAAAGTTCATCCAGATATTCCTGCGTGATTTCTCCTTGTCAGTGATGCAGGACGGAGGATCTGACAAGGACAGCTATGAATTCTATTTATACATGTAAAGGCGTGCACGAGCTTATTTGCACAGATTGGAAAACTGTTCGGTTTGTTTATTTGAAAAGATACTGATATTAAACTATAAGATTTGTCAATTTTTTTTTTGAAAATTCTGATAAATTGGTAGCTCTTCGGGAAGCGTTGATCATATCGCCTACCTGGTTTGTGTATTGTACGTCTAATTATGATATTTGAATACTTTCTGAAAGAACATAATTATAGCTCGTTATAGTCGTTCGCATGGGAAGAAAAACCGAGGTACCGTGTACACATTGGCGTGCACGTAAAAGATTCCTTAGCAGTTGGTATTCGATATAAGAATAGGCCGTAGTGCCACTGTCCGGGCAAAATTTCCCTCATAGCACACTGTATTGCGTATGCCCGTCTTCATTA